ACCGATAAGAAAACAATTTTTTTCTTTTATTAAATAAAAATATTGAAGCATATATTACAATTTGTTTTTAAATAAATAAAAAAAAATCAAATTACATATCCATGTAAGATTTTTCTGCATTATGTTGACGAAATTTCCTTTGACGTTCAGCATTTGATTTTGGTACTGTTTTTTGTTTTGTTTTTAGTGTGAGGTTTTTTTTCGTTACGGAATTTCTGGATTCGGTCCCCGCGCCCAAGGCCCTCGATAGAAGCTATGCAATAGCTTAAAAAAAAGTGCGTGAAAAAAGATGTCGAGTTATCAAAGAGAATGGAAAAAGAAGACTCATTGCATTGACCCCAAAAAAAATCTTAAAAGGGTAAGAAGGCGATGATATATACTACTATACTTCTACGACTAAAACTTTTTAAATTGTTAGAAACGAAAAATGTATTATTTCTAAACTAAATTGAGTGAGTTAGACAGTGTCAAAACCTCAAGTAGATTAAAGGAAACTGTTACAATGATTTAAAATAGTGAAGGAAGAAATCAATCATTTTCTGAGTGACCTATTTCTCTGTTAAATATCATGTAGAACTTTAAAAAATCTATGACGTGCTATAGTGTTTATCGTCTGATGTGCAATGCTTGTGATGTGCAATCGTCTGATGTGCAGTCACAGTGTTATCTAAATTGTCTAAATTTAATGTTGTGTATGTTATATTGTGTAAATTGAATGTAGTGTTGTCTAAATTGAATTACGTTACGTAAATTAATTTTAAATAAAGAAGTTTCGTTTTTAACAAAAAATAAATTTTATCCGTACCTTGTTTTTTTATCACAATAACAAAGTAACAAGTTGTTCGCTAATTAAATCTACCTACCTTAAAATTGTTTGAAGCAGTGATTTTAAAACAATTAAGCTTTATAATGGAAGTTTTTTGACTCCTAATTAAGGTGATTTCCTAAAATGTTTTATGTTTGTAAGAACGAGGAATCCATTCAAATGAATAAAATTCAAGGGTCTTTTTGTAATGTCAAAATAATAGGTATTTTTTATGCTCGCACGGTTATTTGCACGATACCTATACCTAAAAACTAGTTTAAATATTATTTGTCTGTCTGTTACTCTGTCAGTCTGCCTGTCTGTTCCGGGTAATCTACAAAACGGCTTGACCGATTTCGATAAAGTTTTACAGCTGTATATATAAGGTTTATGGCTATTTGCCTCTCAAAAAATCCTATAAAATTTTGCCCGATCCGGGAATCGAACGTGGGGCCTCATGGACTGCAGTCGCGTTCTGCACTACACCACTAAGGCAGCGCTTTTCAAATTTCTCGCGAACGAAGTCGCGGGTACCAGCTAGTCCTTAATAAAAATTGCAATAAAAAAACAACACCATAAAATAATTTATTTACAAATTTTACACTCGGACTTGGCCTTGACCTGATGTAGAAAGATGTAAAGATAAAATATGTGTATTATCTATACAAATAAATAAAATTGAAGTGTCTGTTTGTAATGTCAAAATAATAGGTTTTTTCATGCTGACATGGTTATTTGCTAATATTTTTTGTCTGTCCGTCTGTTTGTTCCGGGTAATCTTTTCAATTTCAAGTTTTGCGTGGGAAAGTAAAGACAGAAAATTGTTATGATTAGAAGTTTGTTTAGGTTAATTTAGAAGAACAGTTTAATTATATTATCCATAAAATGAAATGTTTGTGTCAAAACCATCTTGTAAACATAAATCTCACAGAGAAGTTAGAAATTGTTTTTAAACTCACAATTTCATAAATTGTTTAACCTCGTTGTTTCATTAGTTCTTATATAAAGTGGTATTTTTAAAGCATTCGTTTATTATGAACACTCGAATAACCATTTTTTTTTGGTAAGTTGCTATTTATTAGGCATATTATAATTATACAATATTACTTTGTCAAAGTAGCTACTAAAACCACGCCAGTCTATGACCGAAACCTTTGGAAAACCGGTTACACAAAGAATAGTAATCAAATCAAGCCTGAAATAGAATATAAATTCAATTAATAAAAGTTCGTCAAGTTGTTTTGTTTCTTTACTTTTTTACTTTAAATGGTGTTCAGTCCGCTTCTATAAGTCAAATGTTAAAATGGTTTTCATTTAAAAATTAACGTAAGTAACTCTCAGACTGCCGGGGGTGAAAGCTTTTTTCTATAATTATGAAATTGAATTGAATATTGAAAATGATTTACAAAGCATGTAGTGTATGTAGCACATAATTTCATCTTTATAAGTTAGGATCATTATGCCTAATGAATAGTTTACTTAGCCGAAAACAGCCTGGATGTGGCAAAATAAAAAATATTTTTAATTTTTAGTAGTATAATACAATCAAAATCGGTCGAGTCGTTTTGAAACGTACAAAACATACAAAAAATATTCAAACTGGTTTTTAGGCGTAGGTATCGTGCAAATAACCGTGTGAGCATGATCTACCCAAAAACTTTTTTATTTTGAAATTACAAACAGACATAGACACTTTAATTTTTTTTATTAGTATAGACTAAGTACACCCAGACAGAACAGACAAATGACCTTGCTCTATACACAATGATTTCTCCTGGGTGGGAATCGAACCCACGATAATTATAATTTTGAAGTTTCTAAGACACCCATACAAATTCAGATATCCCACCAACATTTGCCGCATTTATGTATGTATCAACCTATAACTACATACTTCAAAGCTTTCAGGCGATTAACAAGTCCCGCAAAAATAACACCTAGCCTGTGACGTGAAGTATTTTTATATAGTTTTAAATTATTTAATTAAACCATACCTAATAATTAGTCACCTAATATTAGCCAGTTATGTATGTTATGTAGTTCACTAATTTAAAAAGAAATGTTGGCCTTAGTTATATTAAGATGTCGGTGCAAGCGGTACTTTCCTGTTAGTAATTGTTGCACTAGACTAACGTCCCTAAATGATTTTTTTTTTATAATGGGTCAAACCAGCAGACGGGGTAACCTGATGGTAAGCAACTACCGCCGCTCATGGATACCTGCAACTCAAAAGTCACAAGTGCGTTGCTGCCCTTCGAGTCCCTCCCGTTAGAGTCAGCGGGAGGGGAGAATTTGAGGTTCGGTAACCTCACTCGCTCAGTGAATATATCCAGTTACTGTTTTTAAGTAAATATAAACAATTGTTGGTGAGTCAAGAGAAAATAAAAACCAACCTACAAAATCTTTTGTAATGGCCGAGAGAGACCATAGGAAGAGTTTAGAGTCCGTCCGTCCGTTTATGTCCGAAAACGGACATACTTTATGTCCGTTGCTCCAAAACATACTAGGATAATTAATACGTCACTTTTCTCTACCAGAGACATCAGAGTTCTCTAAAGAAAAAGAAGACAATTTACCGTTTCTGTTGATCATGGTGCGTCTAGGATAGGTGAATATTAGAAATTCATGGTTAAATTAGCATGCGAATAGAAAAGTTCTGTTTAATGCAGGATGCTGTCCACTTATATTTTATATGACTAGCTGACCTGTGCAACTTCGTTTTACAAGGAATAAATTCTTCTCGTTTTAACAACTTGTTTTAGTGATGCTCCGCTCCTATTGTATGTCCTCTAATAGCCATCCTCGACAACCTTAATACCCAACCTAGCCAACACTTAATAATTTTTCAATTCGAATTAATATTTATTGAGATTAGCGCATTCATCCAAACAAACAAACTCTTTAGCTTTATAAAATAGCTGAGACCTATTAATTGGAATCGTTATCAAATAAGAAATAGAATTTCTTAGAAAAGAGTTAAGTACTTACAACAGAAACATAATTGTTTTTTTTTATTTGATAAAGGATTGCCATACTTGCTCTGTGAATCACATAATAAATTTTTTTAGCTTTACTTTAAAGGAACGTTTAGTTTTTTCTGTGCTTTATGTAAATAAGCCGAAACATATGTTAGGTACATATGTTTCGGCTGTCTTGGATTGAAGAAATAAAAATTACTCAAACGATAAATCGTAAGAATATATTTCTCTGTAGGATATATTTTTGCCAAGTTATATGATTTCCACTCTTGTCAGACCAGAGCTATATGCAGAGATAGGAGCTTATGAATTCTGGATAAATATTTTTACTAGACTTGCAACGAATAGTATATTCGGCAGTATACCGAATACCGAATATTCGGCGAGGCCCCTGACCGAATAGCCGAATATTAGGCAAAAGTATTCGGCTGGATTTTAGCGCCAAAAACTTGTACAGACGTGAATTAAATTATGTACCTGTTTTATGTACCAATGACTACTTAAAAAATGATTATAAAAGAAATGAGAACCTTACTCTTCTAAATTTTGATTACCACAATAATTCAAATACATAGAATCCTCCATTCTTCCAATTCAGAAGATGATTATGTACCTGTGTTATGCACCAATGACTACTTAAATGATTATAACAGAAATGAAAATATGAATATATACGTAATCAATCGATTTTAATTTTTCATTTTACCAATTATTTCTCAATGACAAAATATATTATTTAAGTATTCGGTATTCGGCCGAATAATATGTAGATATTCGGTATTCGGCCGAATATAATAAAAGCAGCCGAATATGCCGAATACCGAATAGTAACCGAATATTCGTTGCAAGTCTAATTTTTACTCATTTCTGTTAAAATATAACTCATGAAAGTTTCTACTGGTTTAGCCTGTGTGCGTTAGGGTATATTTCGGGATTTTATTCCAAAAAGTCAAGTATTGAATGTAATAAAATGATTTCCATTTGAGGTTTTTTCAAGGCACTTCAACAATTTAAGGGACTCTAAATGGTTAATAACAATCTTATCAACACCATTTATCGGTTATAGCAGCCACCGATAAATTGTCGTAATATATTTAATAAGAAGTGTATATTATATACTCGTACATTTTTTCATTTCACATTAGAAACGGCTATAATTTTCAATATCGGGTTTTCTTGGTACGGCAAAAATACTTTGCAACTTATTGAGAACTTACCGAGCATTCTTATGACTCTCCTTTGGGATGCACAATTCCTGTACTGCATTTGTCCGCTAGCTCTCTCATTACTATCTACTGACAGTTTTTTCATTGGATGCAACACTCGGGAAGTCCGTAACTTAATTCCTATTAACGCGTACAACACAGATATCATCGACATAGGCACGACGAAAAACACAAAACTAGATATAACAAACACTTGGTGCACTCCTACGCCTTTAACTGTACACGCACTCACGTTCTGACCGTTTTCCACGGATGATTCGATCCCGAACTGCATGGCTTGGGGTATTGCTGTACATAAGGCAAACACCCATATAGCTATGATGAATCGAACGGCTCTTGACAGCTTCGACATTGTGTGAGACATAAACGGACGGCATATCGCTATATACCTCTCTACAGTGAAAGCCGTTATTGTTAACACAGTCGCGTTTGCTGATGTCTCTGACGCTAGGCCGATGGCGATACAGTGAGCTTCGCCCAACGGGTACGTGACTGGATTCCACAAACGATGTAGTTCAAAAGGTAAGCCGCAAACTAGGAGTATAAGGTCTGAGATAGCAAGACTGAAAAGATAGAAATTTGTAGCAGTGTGCATGGAACGGTTTCTTGCAATAACCACGCAAGTGCTTGTGTTGCCGAGGATACCAGCGATGAATATAACTGCGTATGTGATGGTAAGAGGTATTAGCAGATCTAATGCGTATTGTTCATAGTATGCTGCTGGGTTTGCAGTTACATTAGTCGCGTTTACCAATAAATCTTCATACTCATCCATAGTCTGAGGAACTGATAGTGTCATTTTACCTGTTAACAAAATAAAATTATTGTAAGTTAAATTTCTTTAAACTTTTTTTAAGGCACTATATTCTACTACGTTTTAGTTTTTTTTTTTTAATTATTTAGGAGTGAAAAAATGGACAAAGTTAGCAACATAACAAAACTCACTGTCGTTTCTCAACAGGTATATTTCAATGAATATTATTAAAACACGTTTGAGCTTATTTAGGTAACATGGTGTAAAAGACTGATGGCGTATCACGAACCCAAAATCATATTAAATATGTACGAGTACGTATTGCCCTTCACATATATTTTTTAAGCATCCAGTGCATTAAATATTATATTAAACGAAACGAAATAAAACTTGTTTAAAGTTAAACAAAAAACAGTGCAATTACAACAAAACAAGCTGTCGGAAGTTTGATATGTTGTTTCACTTGACGTTTTATAAATTTGCCATTTGAGTATTGGGAGTAGTTTAATTTAAAATTATATTTCTTGTATTATAATTGATATCGATATATAATTGATAATCATCTAGAGTACGACAGTACTCGACTCAATGGTACAATGAGTCAAGCAAAGAAAAAGGTACCATCCTTTTTCTCAAAGACATTCGGGATGCTTTCGAAGTTTCTGTTACTTTGCTGTTTATAAAAGTAGAGGCCTGAATTTTGAACGGTAATACGATATAGATATTGGAACGAAGTTTCTTATTGCTCGTTACACGCTCTGAGCGGATGGGAGCGAGACCGAAAAATTTGTAACAAAACTTTTTCCGACACCATAACAAGCGTCTACCAAAAAGCGAAAGGAACTTCGTTCCGACCGGTGGTCCATAGACCCCTCACGATTTTTTTTGTTATGGTATAGGAGGGCGGGAACACGTGCAGGCGGATCACTTGATAGTATTTACCTCCGTCCATAGACACCTGCGACTCGCGAGTCACAAGCGTGTTGTCATCCGGAGGAGAGGTTTGGTCGGGTAACATGACTCGGTCAAAGCAATCGAAGAAGTGCTGAGCACTCGTTTTCTGTGAAACCGTATTATTTCTGCCGTCGAGGCTCTCTCATGACGATAACATGTTAAATATTAGTTATAGCTTTACTAATATTATAAAGAGGAAATATGTTTTTGTTTGTTTGTTTGTGTCGAATAGACTCCAAAACTACTGGACCGATTTTAACCATTTTTCATTAATATAATAAAATTCCTGATAATGTAGCTTACATTATCAGGAAGTAACAAAGGCTATAATTTATTCCTAAAAAACTTAGACATGTGCATAAAAACAGGTTATGTTAAGCAAGGTGTAAAAAATTGTTTCAAAAATTTCCTTTCTTCGCGTTGGCTGCTTAAATGGTTAAAGATAAGACGAAATAATGTGCTAATGAATTGTAGGACTAAAAAAAATCTACAGAAAAGTTCAGGAAGGAGTATATCTATCTATAACAGCTAAGCTATAAAAAGCGTATTTATATTTTAAAAATGATTAAATATCCACTACGTGATTTTATGAATCCTTATGAAATGAAAGCATTTCATCATCGAGATAATTTCAAGTAGATATTTTTTGTCTTTACATCATTAAAAATGGTCTATTCTTTAGGCAGATATCGTTTAATTATAAACATTTCACTTTGCAGTGATGAGTATAAAAATGCTATACAGGAACGAAAAAAAATACTATAGAGTGGGCGTTGCCGACGTCCATGAGGAAGGGGTTAGGTCTATGTAGTAAATAGGTGACGACATCTATTGTGTGTGTGGGTCAGCTAGTTAACGAATAAAGAGGAAATAAATACTTACAAACTGATTTATATTTTATAATTGATAACTATTAGTACTTAATGGGACTAATCCCTCCCACACGCCCACCATTGTAACTCCTGTACACCAGGATCAACAGCAGTGACCCACAAACACACCGAGTTATGTCATTCGGGAAGTCCCAGGCAATAAAAAACTGTCTTGGAACCCGCAACGAAATTAATCAGAAGAAACTTGGAGGAGTTGGAAATACAGTAAATCCACTTCCCTCCTTAGCAAAGCGGGAGACAAAATGAAGTAAAATAGGCAAAGACCCTTTTAAACAGGGAAGCACCACGGCTACAAAACATTATGGGCCCTAAGTGAGCTATATTTGATTTCTATAATATGTATGGCAGAATCGCCTAAACGCACGGAAATTTAGCCTAGGGACACAAGATCCCCATAGCATACCGCCCCAGATGTCACCTACAAGCTATTCAGCTTCATTATACCAAAAACTACATTCAAAGAGGATATGATGAACAGACTGTTTATGGTTAGAGTTAGATGTTAAGCATTGACACAATGGTGACTCGACTAATTTAAATGAATACAGCTTGATCTTAAAGTTACCGTGTCCTGTAAGAAATTGAGCGACACAGTGATCCACCTCAAGCCATGTTCTCGACAACCGTTCAAGAACAGATGAAAAGAACTGGTAAAGGTAGCCCTTATTGCCTTTCGTCTATGAGGTCATTATAGACATCGCACAGCTGTTGAACCAATCTTATAATTTTATCGCGACCTCGTGCGCCCAAAAAATCGCATTCCATGTTTTTTTGTCTTGAATAGTACATGGCTGCACGTCTCTGCGCCTCGAGATTGACGGGAAGCACACCCGCCAGTAACGGCAAAGCCTCAGTGCTAACCGTCCTATATGCTTTGCACAAGAATATCAGTGCAAGTCGTTGGCATTGTAACAGTTTGCGACGGACAGCGCCTACGGTTGCCCTATCGGCCCATACAGGTGCACCATAGCACATAGAACCTAAATAAGTAGCACCGTATATGATCTTTAGTCTATTAAATGATAGACCCCATATCGCAGTTGATATCCTTGTCAATGCACAGAAACTCTTTTTAGACTTTTCATTAACTATTTTAATATGTTCGATAAATTAAAAGTTTCTTTCTAAAACTGATCCTAAAATACCACACTGAGGTTTTATTTTTTACAGTGACATTGTCAAATTTAATGCTTGGCGGTGGTTTGAGGTTATCTCTTAAAAGTAGCTGGAAGGTTTTATTGGGTGCAAAAGTTCAGCGATTACGTTCACCCTATGAGATATCAAGTTCAAACATCTATTTAAAGACACCTCTGTGCTTTGTTTCAGCGTTTCTTCCCAGAGTAAGTCTTAGGAAATGCCGGCTCCATCTAGCTGTAAAGTCCGACTTGTAAAAATATCTAAAAAGATTTACTTACAGAGATAAGTATCATTTCATTTCATATTAAAATAGTGCAAGCATTTTTCTTGTTTATACGACCTACTAGATCTTCTACATTCTTCATTTTTTGTACATGCATAAATATGCTAAAAAACTTAATATACTAAAAAACTAATATCGAGAGTTATTGGTTTTTAACAGGTACCCGTTATTTTTAACACAACTATTAATTCCGATAGTAACAGCCTAAGCCAACGACTAACCATTACTTCTGATAGTTCGTGATCAAATTACGTTACAAAATCGCCTCAGTACATAGTTATAGTCTATTTTTTTGTAATTGATGGTTACAATTTTTTAGGTAAATTTATCAAAGAAATCCGTACTCCCGCCTAAATTATCGTGTTCCAAACAACACGGCAACTGTTGAAATCTGTCTGAAACCAGCGGAATTGAGCATTCACAATGAAGGACAGTTTATGTTTTGGTAATTTTAAGTATACAGGAAAATGCTTTAATTTTGTTGTTTTAATAGAAAAAGACGTTCATAATCATTATTATTTATCTTTTTACCCTTTAACTAAATTTATTTGCGGTATACACTTGTAAATTTTTGACTTATCTCTTGCACTTATCCACAATAGGCTTGTGTCCACTAATAACAAATTGCTTGGTTTATAGTTTCAAATTATAAATGAAGAGACATAGATAAGAAAAAACCAGTCTATTTCCCATAACAGTTAAATATTATTAATATTTTTTTTTTAAATTCGAACAGATTCGTGACAGCGAACACCAATCAGAAAGTGTTACGTCACGCCACGCAAAACATCATTGTTGTTTTTGACGTTTTCATATAACAGCAGGTTTTTCCTTATTGTTTTTCATTTTTAGCATATTTAAACAGTTTTGTTTCGCAGACTGTGACGTCATTCAAGACGCCATGACTCTATTCATCGTTTTCAAGGGAAATTTATTAATTGTAATGTAAATATTGCTTTTTCTTTAAAATATAGGTTTTTTGGGATAAAATAGATATTACAGTATATAATTAACTGGGTCAACTGAGAAAACTGGGAACAACTGGGAAAATTAAGTCAACTATTATTAGCCTATTAGTGTGTTATCTTTGCGATATCATATTTATATTATTTATTCTAAAAAAAGTCTGATTGTAAACCACTTATTTTAAGATTTTGTATTGTCATCCATACTATAATATTATCTATTTTATTCTCGTTTACAATTAATTAAATTTTAAAGCCAATAAGTAATACAAAAAGATTTGAACTTGTTCTTTTAAAGTGTGGATTGGTATACTCGTATGCTAAACTAACGACTGTGAATGTACTTTTTTGGTCTCTTATTCATCACACATCAACACCCAAAAAAGAGAACCGTTGCGAGCGCTTTTCTACGGCTTTTGGCTTTAAGAATTAACTTTTAAAAGTATCATCGACTTCACTGCCCCTTCATCATGATGAACTTGTAATAAATTGCTTTCATTACTTGCATTTCTACTGGAGCTGCCCCATAAAACTTTAGCCCGGTATAGGATATTTGGGAACCCATCTTGAGTGATGCAAATTATACATCCCTACATTTAATAAAGTAATGCGAATAAACATTTGCATTTATTTTCGTACACTGATCAATCAATTTTACTATGATGAGATAAAATTACATTAGACATGTAAATCATGAAAAAGTTTCGTTTTCATTTCGATTGCTTTTTTTGCCACCCTCTTGAAAATTCTGCCCGTGTGCGGTGCACGGGCGGCCCTGAGGCAGCGCTTTTTAAACTCCACGTGAATAAAGTT